TAAAAGTAGGCCTTAGACAAGGATGTGTGATGTCACCGTGGCTGTTTAATATATTTATAGATGGGGTTGTAAGAGAAGTAAATGTGAGGGTCTTGACAAGAGGCGTGGAGTTAAAAGATAAAGAATCACACAAAGTGGGAGTTGTCACAGTTGCTCTTTGCTGATGACACTGTGCTCTTGGGAGATTCTGAAGAGAAGTTGCAGAGATTGGTGGATGAATTTGGTAGGGTGTGCAAAAGAAGAAAATTAAAAGTGAATACAGGAAAGAGTAAGGTTATGAGGATAACAAAAAGATTAGGTGATGAAAGATTGGATATCAGATTCAAGGGAGAGAGTATGGAGGAGGTGAATGTATTCAGATATTTGGGAGTAGATGTGTCAGCAGATGGGTCTATGAAAGATGAGGTGAATCACAGAATTGATGAGGGGAAAAGGGTGAGCGGTACACTTAGTATTCTGTGGAGACAAAGAACTTTGTCCTTGGAGGCAAAGAGGGGAATGTATGAGAGTATAGTTTTACCAACGCTCTTATATGGGTGTGAAGCATGGGTGATGAATGTTGCAGCGAGAAGAAGGCTGGAGGCAGTGGAGATGTCATGTCTGAGGGCAATGTGTGGTGTGAATATAATGCAGAGAATTCGTAGTTTGGAAGTTAGGAGGAGGTGCGGGATTGCCAAAACTGTTGTCCAGAGGGCTGAGGAAGGGTTGTTGAGGTGGTTCGGACATGTAGAGAGAATGGAGCGAAACAGAATGGCTTCAAGAGTGTATCAGTCTGTAGCGGAAGGAAGGCGGGGTAGGGGTCGGCCTAGGAAATTTGGAGGGAGGGGGTAAAGGAGGTTTTGTGTGCGAGGGGCTTGGACTTCCAGCGGGCATGCGTGAGCGTGTTTGATAGGAGTGAATGGAGACAAATGGTTTTTAATACTTGACGTGCTGTTGGAGTGTGAGCAAAGTAACATTTATGAAGGGATTCAGGGAAACCGGCAGGCCGGACTTGAGTCCTGGAGATGGGAAGTACAGGGCCTGCACTCTGAAGGAGGGGTGTTCATGTTGCAGTTTAAAAACTGTAGTGTAAAGCACCCTTCTGGCAAGACAGTGATGGAGTGAATGATGGTGAAAGTTTTTCTTTTTCGGGCCACCCTGCCTTGGTGGGAATCGGCCAGTGTGCTAATAAATAAAATAAAAATAATCAGTCAGTGTGGTATTACTACACAAGAATTACACATTAGCCAATTCCCCAAAAAACGAAGGGATGACCTAAAGAAGAAAATGTATTCATCATCACTAACTCCTAGCTGTCTTTCTAAGACTGTGCAGACACCAGAGTCTAGTGATGATCCACCAATCATCACTAATTCCGAAGAGCAACCAATGTATAGTTCAACTTCCACATTTTCAACGTTCATAAATCACATGATTTTATTATGCAACTTTTTTATTTAGGGCATTTCTGAAAGATTTCAGTTACAGTGGACCCCCGAGTTTCGTGACAAATCCATTCCAGAGAGTCTGCCAAATGGTGAAATTCACGACTGGCAAAACCATTTTCCCCATAAGAAATAATGTAAATTCAATTAATCCATTTCAGACACCCGAAAGTATTAACAAAAAAAAATTTTTTTCAAGATTAAATATAGATTTACATACAGAAAACTGACAAATAAGAATAAAGCAATAATAAAATGGATAAATGAACATTTAACATCACACTTGCCTTTATTGAAGACTCTTGTTGGTGTATGGCAGATAGGTAGGAGGGGAGAGGGAGGCGAGTTTATTATGCTTCAATATGACATTAATATCATCTCTACAGCTTATTTATCTATCACAACTCATCTAATATGACATAATAAACAATATTAATAACACAGAAACATGATATATACTCTAGAATAAAATATGTCATAACATATGTGAGGAGTAAGTGGTGGTGGTGTTGTTGCTGGGTTTATAAGAGCCACTGAGAGAAGCCATACATATTAGTGGTGGTGGAGGCGGCAGCAGAAACCACCACCACTATTCACACTGAAACAATATATGTAATTTATAAATAAGAAATGTTTACACTTTAATTTATAAATAAGAAATATTTACACTTACCTTGGAGGAGATGTTAGTTTAATTAGTTAGTTTGATGGAGGAGATGGTGGCAGAGGTTTAGGGTGGTGGAAGACAGCAGGGCAGCACATGTTCAGTGGCCCTACACCAACAACATTGGAGAGTTACTTTCGTGTCGTTTTTCTATCACTTAATTGCTTAACTTACTTGCTACACTGTTAATGCTATATTTTATCGCTGGCTGGCACTATAGCCTTTATCGATACCTGTTGCTTTATCTTTGTACATATCGCAGAATCACTGAATCACTGAAGGCACATTTCCCCACTCTCTTCCTTCTCCACTTTGGTACTTTGCTACGAGTTTTTTCTTGAATTCTATCGTGTTTCTTTCCTTCTTTACCAAAGGACTGGCACTAGGAGCTTTCTTTGAGCCCATGGTGGCTTATTTAGCAGTTAGAAGCACAAAAAAGAATGGATTATGAAATGTACCGTATGAACACATGCGATGATGGTCACTCGCTGATAGACAATGGTACACTGAGTGTGAATGGTGTGGGAGACTGGCTTTGTGTGCACGCTGACGCTGGGATGCAGTTCGGATGCATACCAGATGGTCACCAAATCAAGAAGCCAATCACGAACCACAAGGCTATACAGTGGAACCTCAAACGTATCACTTATCGAACTCTTCGAAAATTGACCGTTTTTTCGAACCAACTTTGTCCCCGTTATCAAACTCCCCTCTTTTTTCGAACCGCTGGGTACTGGACCTGTCCACTAGCCCACTCTGTCCGTGCCCCCACGCAGGCGCCGTGAGTCAGTCTGGCTTTGTTGATGCTTGAGTGAACACTAATCTACGGATTCATTCAAACATTTTACAATTACAGTGGACCCCCGACATTCGATGGCATCGACATTCGATAAATCAGACATTTGATGAATTTTAATGCAAAAATTTCGCCCCAACATTCGATGGAAAACCCGACATTCGATACGATTCGTACAAGATGTGCCCACGTGTGGCCTGAAGTGCACTGTGTGTACCAGTGTTTACAAGTCAGCCAGTGTGAGCGCATCTAAGGATACATTCGGTACATTCCATATTATCCATATTATCACTGTTTTTGGTGCTTGTTTCTGCAAAATAAGTAACCATGGGCCCCAAGAAAGCTTCTAGTGCCAATCCTTCAAGAAAAAAGGTGCTAATTACTATTGAAATGAAGAAAGAGATAATTGCAAAGTACAAAAGTGGAGTGCGTGTCGGAGTGCATGATGATTTGGTAAAGAAATTGCCTGCAACTAGTGGTGATGTGAGTGAATTTAAGGCCAGCAAAGGTTGGTTTGAAAGATTTAAGAATCATAGTGGCATACACAGTGTGGTAAGGCATGGTGAGGCTGCCAGTTCAAGTCCTAATGGAAGGGGATTCCCCTTCTAAACACTAACACCATCCACACTTTCCCCTCCTCCCATCCCATCAATCATCACCAGATCTTTATTAAAGGTAAGTGTTAATTATTCTATTGTTATTAATCTATTGTTATTGTTGTTATTGTAATTATTCTCTTGCATTAAACTTAATATTTCATGTGGTAAATTTTTTTTTTCATACTTTTGCGTGTCTTGCACGGATTAATTTGATTTCCATTATTTCTTATGGGGAAAATTAATTCGACTTTCAATATTTTCGACATTTGATAGCTCTCAGGAACGGATTAGTATCGAATGTCGAGGGTCCACTGTAATTCATTGTGTTTAGTGCTTGTGGGACTGTGAAATAAGCTGCCATGGGCCCAAAGAAACTTGCTAGTAGTACCCCTGTGGTAAAGAAAGTGAGAAACACCATAGATGTGAAGAAGGAAATAATACATAAGTATGAGAGTGGTTCTAGAGGCATTAAAAGACAGAAGGGAAGTAACCCCAGAGAGGGCTTTGATACCTAAAGTCCTTATGGAGGGGGATTCCCATTCCAAACACTAACCCCAACTCCCTCTCTCCTCTTCTCTATCTTCTAGATGCCATCACAAATCTTCAATAAAGGTAAGTAAAAATGTTATTTTATGTGTTTATTTAAATTTATTAATAATTGTACACAATATTTGTTGTGTGTATGTAAAACTATAATGTAATACTATCTATAAAATGTATTTTTTTGTGAATACTTTTGGGTTTCCGGAACGAATTAATTGTATTTCCATTATTTCTTATGGGAAATTTTGCTTTGCCTTTCACACTTTTCGAATTTAGAACTAGCTCCTGGAACAGAATAAGTTCGAAATTTGAGGTTCCACATTTTGACGAAAAGAGTTGCATAAAGTCGGATTTCACAAAAGTCGCGGCCGCCGAAACGCAGGGGTCCACTGTATTTGGAAGTTTTTCATGTTGCCTTATTTTTTCTGCCTTGGTGAATGACCCCTAAACTGAAAACTAATCCTAGAATTTTGTTAAAAAAAGTGCTCATGGATAACCTGTCTAAATTTCTCCACTTTCTGAGCATTCTATTTTAGGAATATAAATTAATTTTATTTTTATCACACCAGTCATCCCTGCTAAGGTATGGTGGCTAAAAAAAAAAAAAAAAAAAAAAAAAAAAAGAAAAAAAAAAAAAAAAAAAAAAGAGGCTCTCACCCTCATTCATTCAATATCTTGCCACAAGTGCACAGACATCACAATTCAAATGACACTCTGAACTGCAACACGATTGACAACACTCTTATTGCTAAACATAATGAGGGCAAATTCCTGGGTCTGCACCTTGACAGCAACCTGAAATTCAACACCCTTATCCAACACATAACAAAAAAAGTATCCAAAACAGTTGGGATCCTCTCAAAGATATGTTACTATGTACCATAATCAGCCCTACTCACACTATACTATTCGCTAATCTAACCCTACCTCACCTATGCTATCTGTTCATGTATAGTTTCCAGCATGATACATACCTCAGTGCTGGCAGCATGTATAGTCTCCAGCAGAGAGCGGGCCTTGAAGAAATGGTTTCTTGCATCATGGTAGAGTGTGGCTGCTGACACAGGCTGGTGGTGATCAAACATCATTACTTTAAGTACTACCAAAAATGCCAATCTGTGCTATATAAAGTTAGTTACATACGTACATGGGTATGTGTGTGTGTGTGTGTGTGTGTGTGTGTGTGTGTGTGTGTGTGTGTGTTCTCACTTATTTGTGGTTTCAGAGGTCAAGTCTTAGCTCCTGGCCCCAACTTTTTGCTGTTCACTACTAAGTCTACTCCCGGCTCCAAGAGCCTTATCATACCTCTTCTTAACCCTTAAACTGTCCCAACGTAGATCTACATTCACTCGCGTAGCGCTCTGAATGTAGATCTACGTTCGATTTTACATGCTTTCTTATCTTCACAGATTCCTAATTAGAAATAAACATAATGCACTGAATAAATTACCACAAGTTATTTCAGTAATGAGAGATAATTACCAACTTGATAACTTTATATTACCAACAACTTTAACTCACCTGGGGAAAGTTGGACAAGTCAGTCATGGAGAGGAACTGATCATAATGTACAGGAGGTGGAGTCATAACCACACTGAATGGCAGGAAGCGATGCTCATAGCGAACTTGTTCACTGTCAAATTCTTGAAGAGGAAGTTTCACTTTTCCTGCCTCTCTCAAACCTAGCATTGCCTGAGAAGAGACATCAAAACAAATTTGTAAAATTCAAGTTGCATCTAATAAAATCATATAAATACTGATGACTAAACATTTATACAAATTTATTATTTCAGGAGTTGAGACACAATATTTCAAACAAAAACAAAAAGTACTGTATCAATAGGTAGCATCAACATATAGACTGTTGGCTTATTAATGCCTTAACTGTTCAAACGTAGACCTATGTTGTTACCGCTAGCATTTCAAACGTAGATCAATGTTTTATTTTTCCTGCCTCCAAATCTGGCACGATTGGCCTGAGATGCTTGGTCGGTAGAGAATGGGTCATAACACTCAGTGTGTGCAGCACTTCCGTGCATGACAGATGACGTCTCCCATGTCACAGAAAACAAAGTATGCCTCTTATTTTTCTTTTGAACTCACTCTTACATGCTTTATATTTTTTTTTTCAACAAACCGGCCATATCCCACCAAGGCAGGGGGGGCCCAAAAAGAAAAACGAAAGTTTCTCTTTCTAAATTTAGTAATTTATACAGGAGAAGGGGTTACTAGGCCCTTGCTCCCGGCATTTTAGTCGCCTCTTACAACACGCATGGCTTAGGGAGGAAGAATTCTGTTCCACTTTCCCATGGAGATAAGAGGAAATAAACAAGAACAAGAGCTAGAAAGAAAATAGAAGAAAACCCAGAGGGGTGTGTATATATATGCTTGTACATGTATGTGTAGTGTGACCTAAGTGTAAGTATAAGAAGCAAGATGTACCTGAAATCTTGCATGTTTAAGAGACAGAAAAAATACACCAGTAATCCTACCATCATGTAAAACAATTACAGGATTCCGTTTTACACTCACTTGGCAGGACGGTAGTGCCTCCCTGGGTGGTTGCTGTCTACCAACCTATATTTTCTGGTTGTTTAGACTTACATCTTCTACTACAAACAATTTATCCAAAACAAAAAAAAAAAAAATAAAAGGTTGGCTGAGAAATGTGGCAGCAGCAGTGCTGTGCCCAGTGATGAACCAGGGACCACAGCAGTGCTGTAACAAGCAATAAACCAGGGACCACAGCAATGCTGTGCCCAGCAATGAACCAGGGACCACAGCAGTGCCATGCCCAGCAATGAACCAGAGACCACAGCAGTGATGTTCCTTGTGATGAACCAGGGACCACAGCAGTGCTGTGCCCAACAATAAACCAGGGACTACAACAACTGGTGTTTACACCACAGGATACCTGGTATAGCTACACAGCTTCCCCAAAACTATCTCACATCTGTTAATCTTGGAGTATTTCCCAAGCAGGTTAAAATGTTATAAACCACCTGTAAAACAGAAACTTAGCATCGAGGTACTGGATACATCTGTCAGATACTTAGTTTTAACCCTTTCACTGTCGGTGCCATAATATTACGGCTTGCAAGCCAATGTTGGTGCTGTAGTATTATGTCAAAATTCTAGCGGCTTCAAATCTAGCAGGAGAAAGCTGGTAGACCTACCTGTGAGAGAATGGGTCTGAGTGGTCAGTGTGTGCAGTATAAAACAAAATCAGGGAGGCCGCAGTGCATTATGGGAGTGCCAATTCAGTACGCCTTGTTCACCATGCCTAGTGGTAAAGAATGTCTCACTCCCTGGCGAAATGGGGCACTTCTCTTCCCAAGTGATAGTTCTAACACAGATGGAAGTGTCAGTGAAGATGAATTTCATGGTTCTGAGGAGTTTGTGACTGAAAGCAATGCCCAGGATACCATTAACCCTTTCAGGGTCCCCAGGCCCTCTCCCAGACTTGTTCTCAGGGTCGCTCAAATTAAAAAAAAAAATTATTTTGTCTTATGAAAAGATAGAGAATCTTTTCCCGATCATAATGACACCAAAAGTATGAAATTTGATGGAAAACTTACGGAATTATGCTCTCACGAAGTTAACGGTCTCAACGATGTTTATGCATCGGCGATTTTGCCCACTTTGAGCCCCATTTTCAGCTAATTCCAGTGTACTAGTCGACAAAAATCGTAACTATTTCGCTAGAACTCCATTTTTCTATCGAATAAGTACAAGAAACCACCCATTTACCGATTTCAACTATCCAATACAGTGGTCAGAATTTAGCAATTTTGCCAATTTCACACAAATTTCAAAAGACACCAATTTCCAAATAGGGTCCAGAATAAACAAGAAAGACATTCCTGGCACTAAAATAACATTTCCTCTGTTCATTAGTCATGTCCCCATGCCCCTCTTACATTCTTTTGCTTTCCACTTTGAATTTTCATTCTCACAAAAAATAGAAGATTTACTGTTATGCAGACTACTGCATTGGTGTAGAAATGGTATAAATAATATCAGCACACTTGTGAAAGAATATTAGACTCATCAGTTGACGTGTATTGGACGCGTAGCATGATTTGTTTACTTTTGAACTTTGGCAAAAATCAAAGATTTCTGCTACTTTGAGCTCAATTTCAAGGTACTTTTCATTGTAAAAACCAATCAAAATCGTCTCAATTTCTGTAATATGTCTTCCATTCTATAAAATGAGACCAGGAAAACTAGAATACCATCATAAATACCATGCGAAAATACAGTGCAAAGTCGCTGTTTTAAACCAAAAACACTGTCAAAGTTTTTTTTTCTCATTACGTACTGTGTGCTCCAGGATTTTTTTTTATACTGCGCACACTGACCACATAGACCCATTCTTTCATATGTAGGCCTACCAGCTTTCTCTCACTAGATTTGAGGGCGCTAGAATTTAGGCGTACTAGTATGTCAAAAACCCTGGTGCGTAAGCCGTACTAGTACATTGGAAACCCTGAAAGGGTTAATAGTTCTGAAAACCAAGACAACCATCAACCTTCCATCTCTGATGGTGGGTTGTCTTGTTCATGTTCAGTTGTACCACAGCAAAAGAGAAAACTCATATTTTCCCACGACTCAAAAAATAAGTACACCTACCATCCGACTTACGACCAAGTTCGGTTCCGAGAAACCGGTCGTAAGTCGAAATGGTCATAAGTCGAACTTTACTACTGAATATCAACAAAACATTTTTGTAATGACTTTATTTTATTGTTTTATTTTGGTATTTCATGTTTTACTTTACTTTTTATGCTCTTAGTACTTTATTTTATACTGTAAGGTTTAGGATAAACACTGTGTACAACACAAACAGTTGTTTATTTCCCAGAAATTTGGCATAAAAAACACAGACGTAAGTCGAGTGGTTGTAAGTCGAGCAGGTCGTAAGTCGGATGGTAGGTGTAAGCTTATTCAGGTATACACAAATACAGTTACATAGATTATCATAGATAGCAGCATATGTGTAGAGAACCTAGGATAACCCAAAAATGTCAAAGTGACTTATTTCCATATGGGTGGTGGGGAAAACAGCATGGTTGGTGGGGAAGATAGCATGGTTGGTGGGGAAGATAGCATGGTTGGTGGGGAAGACAGCATGGTTGGTGGGAAAGACAGCATGGTTGGTGGGGAGGACAGCATGGTTGGTGGGGAAGATGGTATGGGTAATTGGTAAAGTTACAATTGGGATGGATAATATAGATGCGGCAGCAGGTGATGGTGTTGGTGTAATGTGTCATGTAGCACCAGTAGCACCCCAGGCTGGTAGCCATGCTGCTGACTCAGCATATCCACAACAAAGGCTACCTTCAACGGCCCACACACCACAACAACCTGCACAACCACAACAAGCCATCCACAAAAATGTAGAGACACTCGTTTTGTGTGTGAGGAGTGTAAAACAGCATTGTGCATAACACCAGGTTTCAAAGTTCCACAAGCTGCAGCTCTTCTAGGAACATGTCCAGTGACTATATGTGTATATATATTATAGAACAATAGTAATAAACAACTTTTTTAACTGCTGGTTTGTATAAACAAATTTTGTGAACAAATATAATAACAATATTTGTGCAGTTATTGTGTTGCATACAATGAGTGGATATATATATACAATATGCATTATATTGGTCTCACAGGCAACAAAAGTTACTAGAAAAAATAAAAGTTTAGAAAAGAAAAAACAGAATAAAAGTAAAAATATTATTACTGAGTGAGTGGCAGTCGTCGATGTTACCGTAAGCGGTTCACTTTCTGTCAACTTTGCACCTCTATATCTCGGTAAGTGCTGATCGCATTTTTTTTTAAACAATCAGTAAAATATTCTTAAGATTTTGGTAAGAAAAAATAATTTTTTTTTCAAATATTTTTCGACAATGAGAGCAGGTTTGTGATCAGGGGTCTCGACAGTGAAAGGGTTAAAACAATACCGATACCATAAAAAATTAGCTGATACTCACTGATGCTGATACTCAATTCAGGGCTGATACTGATACCAATACTGTCAAAATTAGCCAATAACCACCATTACCAATACTGATACTTTGACACTCCCCCCACTATTATTTATATTATACTAAAACATCAGTAAATACAAAGATAAAATAGTTACTTTATAGTAGCCTCCACACAGATGCTGAAGAGCTTGATTGTATGTGATCTCTTTACCATACGGCCGATGCTTCTTTTTATTTCTGTTTTTGTTTTTAGACGATCGTCCACTCTTGCCGCTTTTGTTAGTTTCATAGCCATCTTGCTCTAGAAGCATCGCGTCTGCCCGGGACAGTGCACTCACCAACCACACGTAAACAAACTCATAGAGATACCTGAAAATAAGCTTATTTTCCAGAACTGCTAAATTTATAAGTAAATCTGAAAAAATTACACATTTCTAACAATTAAAAATCTCCATATTTTTTTATCTCATTTTACTAACCAAACAAATTCACCATACTTATACTAAATGACATATATGAAAGATAAATGGATTTGATAAAGAAAAAACAAGAAAAGTAATTAATGAAGGTGGAGGCAGTGGAGAGGTCACAGTGGTGTACATGTAACTGAGGACAGTGTTGTGATGATTGACAGTGGGGAGGGGGGTCATAGATGTGTACATGCAACTGAGGACAGTCCTGTGATGACTGACAGTGGGGGATGGTCACAGTGGTGTACATGTAACCGAGGACAGTGTTGTGATGACTGACAGTAGGGGGAGGGGGGGGGACAGTGGTGTACATGTGACTGAGGACAGTGTTGTGATGACTGACAGTGGAGGGTCACAGTTGTGTACATGTAACTGAGGACAGTGTTGTGATGACTACAGTGGAGGAGTCACAGTTGTGTACATGTAACTGAGGACAGTGTTGTGATGACTGACATTGGGGGGTCACAGCTGTGTACATGCAACTGAGGAGTGTTGTGATGACTGACAGTGGGAGGGATGGGGGGGGGTCACAGTGGTGTACATGTAACCGAGGACAGTGGTGTGATGACTGACAGTCGGGGTCACAGTGGTGTAAATGTAACTGATTACAGTGTTGTGATGATTAGTCAATAACAACTTCCCTCCTCCCCACTCAACATTATCAACCTTAATCACAAATAACCATGCTGGACAGATAATTCCTTACTTTTATTATATTTTCTTTTACCACAGGCCATCTCCCACCAAGGTAGGGTGACCCCCAAAAAAAAGAAACGGAAGCTTTTCTTCTTTCTACGTTTAGTAATGTATACAGCAGAAGGGGTTACTAACCCCTTATTTCCGGCATTTTAGTCACCTCTTATGACACGCATGGCGTACAGAGGAAGGATTCTTCACCACTTCCCCATAAAATATTATCATCAATTACTATCTTGTCAGAATAACAGGCATTACAGTTCAGATGACCCTCCAAACCAGAACTCCCATCTCTAGGACTCAAGTCCAGATAATAGGTTCCACTAAACCCCTTCATAAATGTTACCTTGTTCACACTCCAACATGTCAAATCATAATAGCCACTTGCCTACACTCTTGTCTAACATACTCACACAAGCCTGCTGGATGTCCAAGTCAACAGCACTCAAAACCTTCTTTGCCCCCTCCCTCTAACCACTCAAGATTTGTAAGCCATCCAAGTCATCCTATTTTTCTCCATCCTCTCTAGATGTGCAAACCACCTCAACATTATTATTATTATTTCCTAACTTGTCTCCGCAAATTCTGACTTAACCTGCTGACACAGGCCTGCTAGATGCTTAAGCTTCTAGCACTCTAAACCTCTTCACCCCCTCCCTCCAACCATTCCTGGGAAGACCCCTGTCCCTGCTGCTTCCTTCCACCCCAGACTTATACACCTTCATCATGTTATCCTTCTCTGTCCTCTCTAAATGAACTAACCACTTCAACAACCCCTCCCCATCCCTCTTAATTATACCCTTACTAACCCCCACACCATCATTTAATTTCTATGCTCAAAATTTTCTGCATAAAATTTAAACTACACAATGCTTTCAAACATGACTCCTTCATTGCCTCTAGGCCTCCATCTCACTGAAACATTCAATATTCATGCTTCACACCCGTGTAAAAGTGTTGGTATTACTACTATACACTGCCTTCATAGATAAAATTCTTTATTTTCACAGATGCCTCAACACATCACCTACCTTTCCCTCCCCCTTCCTCATCTACTTTATGGTTTATGTCATCTTTCAAAGACCCATCTCCCATCACGTCTCTCCTATTTCCACTTTTAATATCCTTCTTTTGTATTTTTTTTTTTTTAACAAGTCGGCCGTCTCCCACCGAGGCAGGGTGACCCAAAAAAGAAAGAAAATCCCCAAAAAGAAAATACTTTCATCATCATTCAACACTTTCACCACACTCACACATTATCACTGCTTTTGCAGAGGTGCTCAGAATACAACAGCTTAGAAGTATATACGTATAAAGATGCACAACATATCCCTCCAAACTGCCAATATCCCAAACCCCTCCATTAAAGTGCAGGCATTGTACTTCCCATTTCCAGGACTCAAGTCCGACTATATGAACATAACCGGTTTCCCTGAATCCCTTCACTAAATATTACCCTGCTCACACTCCAACAGATCGTCAGGTCCAAAGTATCATTCGCCTCCATTCACTCCTATCTAACACGCTCATGCACGCTTGCTGGAAGTCCAAGCCCCTAGCCCACAAAACCTCCTTTACCCCCTCTCTCCAACCCTTTCGAGGATGACCCCTACCCCTCCTTCCTTCCCCTATAGATTTATATGCTTTCCATGTCATTCTACTTTGATCCATTCTCTCTAAATGACCAAACCACCTCAACAACCCCTCTTCTGCCCTCTGACTAATGCTTTTATTAACTCCACACCTTCTCCTAATTTCCACACTCCGAATTTTCTGCATAATATTTACACCACACATTGCCCTTAGACAGGACATCTCCACTGCCTCCAACCGTCTCCTTGCTGCTGCATTTACCACCCAAGCTTCACATCCATATAAGAGTGTTGGTACTACTATACCTTCTTTGCCTCCATAGATAATGTTTTTTGACTCCACATATACCTCAATGCACCACTCACCTTTTTTCCCTCATCAAATTCCTCCACCAACCACTTTTCTTCAGAGCTTCCATAAGAACCGCGTCATAGGCAAATGCAACTGTGACCACTTCCCCTTCATATCAAATTCTTTACCTTCAAATCCAACACTTTTTCCCAACACCCTAGCATTTACTTCTTTTACAACCCCATCCATAAATTTGTTAAAGAACAAGCTGATGGCTGGATTCATAACCCCAATGGCTTCAATGACTGAATTCTGATTAGTACATTTAGGAATGCAGCTTCTCCTCACTTAGTGATGTACTCGTTTACCGATGCCTCGGACTGATCGGTATGCATGCCTAATAATGTATATTAGAGCTGACTGCCTCTATTCTGTTTATTATAATACAGAGAACACTACTGTACAAACATTTAAAAGTATACCAGAAATGTTATAAATGGTGCAAAGGTGACATTAAAACAATATCAAAGATAGTTAACACAAACCCACTACCATTATAGTATGCTCCTCACCTGGCAACAAATTTGTTTACCAACATGGTCTTAGGAATGGAACTCTGCCATTAAGTGGGGAGAGGCTGTATCACAAAAATTATAAAAGTTAAATAAATTGATAACGAAAATAACAAAATGGAAAAGGAAAGCCTATTATAATGTCTTCCTGCAAAGCAAAATAGAATGTGAACACCTAGGACATATAAAAGTATGTACTGTAATGTGTTCCACAGTATTGAAATATCCAAGCCTGTGCTTGAATACTGCATATTAAAAATTGATGTCCACTTGTAACTTAGGGTGTAGGTTGGCAGATAGTAATTGCCCAGAATGGTACTACCATTCTGCCAAGTGAGTGTAAAATGGAAGCCTGTAATTGTTTTACATGATAGTAAGATTGCTGGTGTCTTTTTCCTGTCTCATAAACATGCAAGATTTCAGGTACGTCTTGCTAATTCTACTTACACTTAGGTTGCACTACACATGCATGTACATGCATATATATACACACACCACTCTGTTCATTCGTCTATTTTCTTACTAGTTCTTGTTTATTTCCTCTTATCTCAATGGGAAAGTGGAACAAAATTCTTCCTCTATAAGTTATGCGTGTTGTAGGAGGTGATGAAAATGCCGGGAGCAAGGGGCTGGTAACCCCTTCTCCTCTATACATTACTAAAGTTAAAAAAAAGAAACTTTTGTTTTTCTTTTTGGGCCACCCCGCCTCAGTGGGATACAGTCGGTATGTTGAAAGAGGTCCACTTGTAAGCAGAAAAAAGACAATTGGCAGTATTAAATAAGTTAAGCCTTTAAAACAAATACAGTGGAACCTCGGTACTCGAACAATTCAGTATTTGAGCGCCTTGTTCAGTAAACAGATCGCTCAGCAGTTGACCGTTTGCTCAGCACCTGACCAAACAAACTCGACCTGCCAGAACTTCGCTGTAAACTATTTCATGTTTCTTCACATTTTTTGGTGTTTTTTTTATATTATTTGTATAAGACACCATGGGGCCTAATAGGGTTAGCGATAATTATTTTTTTTTATTATCACACTGGCCGATTCCCACCAAGGCAGGGTGGCCCGAAAAAGAAAAACTTTCACCATCATTCACTCCATCACTGTCTTGCCAGAAGGGTGCTTTACACTACAGTTTAAACTGCAACATTAACACCCCTCCTTCAGGGTGCAGGCACTGTACTTCCCATCTCCAGGACTCAAGTCCGGTCTGCCGGTTTCCCTGAACCCCTTCATAAATATTATTTGCTCACACTCCAACAGCACGTCAAGTATTAAAAACCATTTGTCTCCATTCACTCCTATCAAACATGCTCACGCATGCCTGCTGGAAGTCCAAGCCCCTCGCACACAAAACCTCCTTTACCCCCTCCCTCCAACCTTTCCTAGGCCGACCCCTACCCCGCCTTCCTTCCACTACAGACTGATACACTCTTGAAGTCACTCTGTTTTGCTCCATTCTCTCTACATGTCCGAACCACCTCAACAACCCTTCCTCAGCCCTCTGGACAACAGTTTTGGTAATCCCGCACCTCCTCCTAACTTCCAAACTACGAATTCTCTGCATTATATTCACACCACACATTGCCCTCAGACATGACATCTCCACTGCCTCCAGCCTTCTCCTCGCTGCAACATTCATCACCCATGCTTCACACCCATATAAGAGCGTTGGTAAAACTATACTCTCATACATTCCCCCCTTTGCCTCCAAGGACAAAGTTCTTTGTCTCCACAGACTCCTAAGTGCACCACTCACCCTTTTCCCCTCATCAATTCTATGATTCACCTCATCTTTCATAGACCCATCTGCTGACAAGTCCACTCCCAAATATCTGAATACATTCACCTCTCCATACTCTCTCCCTCCAATCTGATATCCAATCTTTCATCACCTAATCTTTTTGTTATCCTCATAACCTTACTCTTTCCTGTATTCACTTTTAATTTTCTTCTTTTGCACACCCTACCAAATTCATCCACCAATCTCTGCAACTTCTCTTCAGAATCTCCAAAGAGCACAGTGTCATCAGCAAAGAGCAACTGTGACAACTCCCACTTTATGTTTGATTCTTTATCTTTTAACTCCACGCCTCTTGCCAAGACCCTCGCATTTACTTCTCTTACAACCCCATCTATAAATATATTAAACAACCAAGGTGACATCACACATCCTTGTCTAAGGCCTACTTTTACTGGGAAATAATTTCCCTCTTTCCTACATACTCTAACTTGAGCCTCACTATCCTCGTAAAAACTCTTCACTGCTTTCAGTAACCTACCTCCTACACCATACACCTGCAACATCTGCCACATTGCCCCCTTATCCACCCTGTCATACGCCTTTTCCAAATCCATAAATGCCACAAAGACCTCTTTAGCCTTATCTAAATACTGTTCACTTGTATGTTTCACTGTAAACACCTGGTTCACACACCCCTACCTTTCCAAAAAGCCTCCTTGTTCATCTGCTATCCTATTCTCCGTCTTACTCTTAATTCTTTCAATAATAAATCTACCATACACTTTACCAGGTATACTCAACAGACTTATCCCCCTATAATTTTTGCACTCTCTTTTGTCCTCTTTGCCTTTATACAAAGGAACTATGCATGCTCTCTGCCAATCCCTAGGTACCTTTCCCTCTTCCATACATTTATTAAATAATTGCACCAACCACTCCAAAACTATATCACCACCTGCTTTTAACATTTCTATCTTTATCCCATCAATCCCGGCTGCCTTACCCCCTTTCATTTTACCTACTGCCTCACGAACTTCCCCCACACTCACAACTGGCTCTTCCTCACTCCTACAAGATGTTATTCCTCCTTGCCCTATACACGAAATCACGGCTTCCCTATCTTCATCAACATTTAACAATTCCTCAAAATATTCCCTCCATCTTCCCAATACCTCTAACTCTCCATTTAATAACTCTCCTCTCCTATTTTTAACTGATAAATCCATTTGTTCTCTAGGCTTCCTTAAGTTGTTAATCTCACTCCAAAACTTTTTCTATTTTCAACAAAATTTGTTGATAACATCTCACCCACTCTCTCATTTGCTCTCTTTTTACATTGCTTCACCACTCTCTTAACATCTCTCTTTTTCTCCATATACTTCTACTTTGTAAAAACTTCTCATATGCTAACTTTTTCTCCCTTACTACTCTCTTTACATCATCATTCCACCAATTGCTCCTCTTCCCTCCCACACCCACTTTCCTGTAACCACAAACTTCTGCTGAACACTCTAACACTACATTTTTAAACCTACCCCATACCTCTTCGACCCCATTTCCTATGCTCTCATTAGCCCATCTATTCTCCAATAGCTGTTTATATCTTACCCTAACTGCCTCCTCTTTTAGTTTATAAACCTTCACCTCTCTCTTCCCTAATGCTTCTATTCTCCTTGTATCCCATCTACCTTTTACTCTCAGTGTAGCTACAACTAGAAAGTGATCTGATGTATCTGTGGCCCCTCTATCAACACATACATCCTGAAGTCTACTCAACAGTCTTTTATCTACCAATACATAATCCAACAAACTACTGTCATTTCACCCTACATCATATCTTGTATACTTATTTATCCTCTTTTTCTTAAAATATGTGATAATAGCCAACCAAAAAGAAAACTGGATAGGAAAACTTTATTTTGTATTTGAACAGATCGGCACTCGAACAGCCTTCTGGAACCAATTAAGTTGAAGTGCCGAGGTTCCACTGTATACATAACAGTATAGCATTGTGAATGTTGTAGCAATACTAACCAGTAGACATAGTGGTACTCGTGTACTGCATACAGCTCTAATGTGAAGCCAGTTAGCAGGTATTTGATCATCAACCTTAACGTGTGGTAGAGGACCCAGGTGCCCAGGTATGCTAGATGTGGTCTTGGTTGGTCACTCTTCAGTAAAACATTGTGTAGATAGGCATCCACTTTATCTGCCTGAACACAAGAATACAATTTTAGATATACAGACACTTAAAGAGGGGTTTAAATTATCATTATGAACAAGATGTTGTCCAGAACAATCACAGGATTCATATCTGAAATGGAAGTAATAAATTAACACAATGATTTAAACATTTTCAAAGGAATTAATCATTCACTCAGACACCCCCCCCCCCAAAAAAAAAAAAAACTATCTTTTTTTTTCAACACGTCAGTCGTCTCAAACTGAGGCAGGGTGACCCAAAAAGAAAGAAAATTCCCAAAAAGAAAATACTTTCATCATCATTCAATACTTTCACCTCACTCACACATAATCACTGTCTTTGCAGAGGCACTCAGATACAACAGTTCAGAAGTCCCTATAAACTGCTAATATCCCAAACCCCTCCTTTAACCCTTTGAGGGTTTCGGACATACTAGTACGGCTTATGACCCAGGGTTTTTGACGTACTAGTACGCCTAAATTCTAGCGCCCTCAAATCTAGTGGGAGAAAGCTGGTAGGCCTCCATATGAAAGAATGGGTCTATGTGGTCAGTGTGCACGGTATAAAAAAAATCCTGCAGCACACAGTGCATAATGACAGTTTTTTTGGAATAAAACAGCGACTTTGCACTGTATTTTCGTATGGTATTTATTGTTGTATTCTAGTTTTCTTGGTCTCATTTTATAGAATGGAAAGCATATCATAGAAATTGAGATGATTTTGACTGGTTTTACAATAAAAAGTACCTTGAAATTGAGCTTAAAGTAGCAGAAATGTTCGATTTTTACCAAAGTTCAAAAGTAAACAAATCATGCCAAGCGTCCAATACACGTCAACTGGCGAGTCTAATATTCTTTTGCAAGTGCGCCAATATGATTCATACCATTTTTTACACTAATGCAGTAGTCTGCATAACAGAAAATCTTCAATTTTTTGCGAGAATAAAAATTCAAAGTGGAAAGCAAAAGAATGTAAGAGGGGCCTTGAGACGTGACTAATGAACAGAGGAAATGTCATTTTAGTGCCAGGAATGTATTTCTTGTTTGTTCTGGACCCTATTCGGAAATTGGCATCTTTTGAAATTTGTGTGAAATTGGCAAAATTGCTAAATTCTGACCATTGTACTGGGTGGTTTCTTGCACTCATTCAATAGAAAAAATGGAGTTCTAGCGAAATATTCATGTTTTTTGTCGACTAGTACAGTGGAACTAGCCGAAAATGGGGCTCAAATTGGGCAAAATCGCCGATCCGTAAACATCGCCAAGACCGCTAACTTCGCGAGAGCATAATTCCGCAAGTTTTCCATCAAATTTCATATTTTTGGTGTCATTATGATCGGGAAAAGATTCTCTATCTTTTCATAAGAAAAAATAATTTTTTTTTTTTTAAATTTGGCCGACCCTGAGAACGAGTCTCGGAGAGGGCCTGTCGACCCTCAAAGGGTTAACCCTTAAACTGTCCAAACGTAGATCTACGTTTTTTCAACATTTGAAAGTATGTAAAAAAAGTAGATCTTTTTTTTTTTTTTTTTTACATTTGAAAACGTGTAAAAAAACTTTGATCTACTTTTTTTTTTTGTAATATTTGAAAATAGGTAAAAAAAAAAAAGTAGATCTACTTTTGGAGCACTACGCATGTGAACGTAAATCTGCTTGGACAGTTTAAGGGTTAAAGTGCAGGCATTGTACTTCCCATTTCCAGGACTCGAGTCCGGCTAAGCAGTTACCCTGAATTCCTTCACAAAATATTACCCTGCTCACACTCCAACAGCTCGTCAGGTCCCAAAAACCATTCATCTCCATTCACTCCTATCTAACATGCTCACACATGCTTGCTGGAAATCCAAGCCCCTCACCCACAAAACCTCCTTTACCCCCTCCCTCCAACCTTTTCAAGGACGACCCCTACCCCGCCTTCCTTCCCCTACAGATTTATGTGCTCTCCATGTCATTCTACTCTGATCCATTCTCTCTAAATGACCAAACCACCTCAACAACCCCTCTTCAGCCCTCTGACTTTGAGTAACTCCACACCTACTCCTAATTTCCACACTCTGAATTCTCTGCATAATATTTACACCACACATTACCCTTAGACAGGACATCTCCACTGCCTCCAACTGCCTCCTCCATGTTGTAGCATTTGCAACCCAAACTTCACATCCATATAAGAGTGTTGGTACCACTATACTTTCGTACATTCCCTTCTTTGCCTCCATGGATAACATTTTTTGTCTCCACAAATACCGCAATGCACCACTCACCTTTTTTTCTTCATCAATTCGATGGTTAACCTCATCCTTCATAAACCCATCCGCTGACACGTCAACTCCCAAATATCTGAAAACCTTTACTTCTTCCATACTCCCTCCTTCGAATGTGATATCCAATTTTTTTTTTTATCTAAATCGTTTGATACTCTTATCACTTACTCTTATCTATGTTCACTTTCAACTTTCTACCTTTACACACCCTATCTATAAAGACAAAAAAGTGAATTTACCAGAGTACAATGGTACCAATAGTTTTATATGAGTGGGAGGCATGAGCTTTAAATGTTGCAGCAAGGAAGTGGCTGGAGACAGTGGAGATGTTATGCTTAAAACCAACTTGTCTTGTGTGAATATTATGCAAAAGAGTCTGAGCACAGAAAGCTTATGGCCATGTGGGGATATAAAATGTATAACTCAGAGGAGAGAGGAAGGGTTGTTAATCAGAGGATGTATGAATCCAGGGTGGAAGGAAGGAGGGGGTAGGTAGTGGCTGTCTCAGAAAGGGTGTGAAAAAGCTTTGAGTGGTAGGGTCTTGAGCATACATCTGAAATAAGTGAACTGTAAATCAGACTGGAGGTAAAAGATTTATGTATTTGAAGTATGTATTATTAGAGTCGAGGAAGGCAACATTTATGAAGAGATTCATGGAAACCAATTAGCTGTACTTGAGTCTGGAGGTGGAAGGTACAGTGTTTGCACTTCAAAAGAAGGGAAGGAATGTTGCAGCCTGGAAAGTTTTTTTAATGATGTCTGCACACAAACGAACCAAAACTCCAGGGTATTATTACAGCTAACAAGTTAAATGACTTCTTCTCAACCACAGGATCAAATCTCGCCAGTAAAATTCCAATTACTAATGCCCGAGCTAATGATTATCTACATGGAAACTTCCCAACATCCCTCTATCTTACACCAACAGAGCCCACTGAGGTTACCATGATTACTAACTCTTTAAAAAACAAATTAGGAAATGTAACCTAAGTACCACCACTACTGTACAAACGAGCGGCTCAAATCCTTTCACCCACCACTGCATTACTCTTCAACAAATCACTAGAAACCAACAGAATGTGAAAAAGACTTGGGAGTCATGGTAAGCAAAAATCTAAAGCCAAGACAGCAGTGCCTAAGTGTGCACAACAAGGCTAACAGATTACTAGGATTTATTTCAAGAAGTATAAGTAACAGAAGTCCGAAAGTTATTTTACAACTCTATACATCACTAGTGAGGCCTCATTTAGATTCTGCCACTCAATTTTGGTCTCCTTACTACAGGATGTATATAGACTCACTGGAGAACATACAAAGAAGAATGACTAAAATGATTTACTGTGTAAGGAATCTCACGTATGAAGACAGACTTAGAGCCTCGAATCTCCACTCTCTGGAGACGTAGAATCAGGGGAGATACTGAAGTGTATAAGTGGATGATGGTAATAAACAAAGGTGATATTAATAAAGTACTGAGGGTGTCGAACCAGGTAAGAACCAGAAATAATGGATTTAAGTTGGATAAATTTAGATTTAGAAAGGACATAGGTAAGTACTGGTTTTCTAAGAGAGTTGTGGATGCATGGAACAATCTCCTGAGTAGGGTGATTGAAGCTAAGACCTTGGATGGCTTTAAAAAGAGACTGGACAAATATGAGTGGGAGGGGCTGGGTTTGATTGGTGTTATTGGGTACGGGAGGATATTCTCGGGAAGCTTTGAGTAGGGGTCGTTTTGACAAGGGCCTGCCTTGTATGGGTCGGTAGGCCTTCTTCAGAGTTCCTCCTTTCTTATGCTCTTATGTTAACACTTTCATGGCATCACTCAAACTGACAAGGATTACACCAATAAACAAAGGTGGTGACCCAACAGATGTAAACAATCATAGGCCAATATCAAACTTGCTTTAACTTTCCAAAATCTTCGAGAAACTTACACAAAAGACTATACTCCTTCATATCATCATAAAGCACCTTAAACCCAGCCAATTTGGCTTCAGGAGCAACAAAAGCACAATTTTTTTTTTTATTAACACACTGGCTGATTCCTACCAAGGCAGGGTGGCCCGAAAAAGAAAAACTTTCACCATCATTCACTCCATCACTGTCTTGCCAGAAGGGTGTTTTACACTACAGTTTTTAAACTGCAACATTAACACCCCTCCTTCAGAGTGCAGGCACTGCACTTCCCATCTCCAGGACTCAAGTCTGGCCTGCCGGTTTCCCTGAATCCCTTCAAAAATGTTACTTTGCTCACACTCCAACAGCACATCAAGTATTAAAAACCATTTGTCTCCATTCACTCCTATCAAACACACTCATGCATACCCACTGGAAGTCCAAGCCCCTCGCACACAAAACCTCCTTTACCCCTCCCTCCAACCTTTCCTAGGCTGACCCCTACCCCGCCTTCCTTCCGCTACAGACTGATACACTCTTGAAGTCATTCTGTTTCGCTCCATTCTCTCTACATGTCCAAACCACCTCAACAACCCTTCCTCAGCCCTCTGGACAACAGTTTTGGCAATTCCGCACCTCCTCCTAACTTCTAAACTACAAATTCTCTGCATTATATTCACACCACACATTACACAAATAACCCGCACATAAAATAAAGAAGATTACAACGACGTTTCGGTCCGACTTGGACCATTGACAAAGTCGTGGCTTTGTCAATGGTCCAAGTCAGACCGAAACGTCGTCGTAAGCTTCTCTCTTTTATGTGCGGGTTATTTGTGTATCGTTCCAGT